CCCGGCGGCGGCCCCGGGGGCCGCGTTTCAGGATAAGCAGCTTATCCTGAAACGCACAAGCTGCCCCAAACGGACCCTTAGAGTCGTTGATAATAATACTATCTAGTAATTTACTCAAGAGCTCCTAAAGATTTGACATGTAATTGTTCATGGGGCTATATTCTTCATTAGGGATTGCAATCCGGAACAAAATGAGGATAATGTATTGGCAAGAATGTTAGACCATAAAGAAGCTATAACATCTCATTTAAGTTGGGTCAGCCTTTTCTGGGGTTCCATACTTTGGTCTTTATGTTCATAATGACGTCATGCTTGCTTTTGTACTCCAGAAAAACAAATATTAATTGAACCCATATTTACCTAATGGATACAATCTGCTCATGACAAGACTTCATATGGTATCGATGTACTCTTATCTTCAATGAATAGCTCGGCAATGCAGGTTGAAGCATATGATCTCATCATAACTTATATTGCAAAAGCAAGTACGTATTATAAAATGAGAATAACGCCCTGTATCTCTCAAAAGTGGAGCCACCAAGTCACAAATAAAAATAAATAAATGAAAATTTTCAAAGAAGATTGAAAAGTTATTTTAGAAGAGAGTTTGACAGTATAGCATAAAGTAATAGTAAATAATTATGGAAATGTCATAGGAGAGTAAAGATAATGATAAAATGAAGTAAAAATCTGAGATGGCATGGTGAATTTTAAAATGTAAAAAATGGTTAATGTTTCAAGAAGATTTGATAAAAGATACATTGGAGTTTTATTTAAGCCAAACATGTGAAATAAGATAGCTACTTCCATTAAGAAGATTATCTTAAGAGTTTTAGAAGAGTATAAAATAAAAGTGTGTGCCAATAAAATGACTAGGTGGAATAAAAAGATACCAGAAAATTTAACCAAGAAGAAATACTTGTGCTTTTCACAAGTCAGAAAAGTTTAATAATATTAAGGTTTATAATGAATTACAGAAAAGTTATAAATCTTGTAAAGAGCATGATGAGTAAAACAAAAAATACATCTTTTGATAGCTTATATAATAATGTTGGTACTAAAAAAAAAGAAAAAAAGATATATAAAATAGCTAAAGACAAGTTTGATGCATTAAAAGTAAATAATACATATATCTAGTTAAAGATGAAGACATCAAGAAAAAATTAGAATGCTATATAAAGAACTTACTAAAAACGGGTTTAAGAGAAGAAATTATTTTGGAACAGCAAATTGAACTAATAATAATGTAAATTATAGATTGATCCAAATAAGAGAAAGTATCTAAGAATAATTTTAATACTAATATCTAAGATAAATGAAATGTTCAAGATTGATAACAATTACAAAAGAATCAAACTTATGAGTCATTTACCCAAGTTATGATTTGAGGATAATAAAATATCTAATTGAATTACATCAATTTCTCATGTTTGAAGGCAAAGCCACATCATAAGAATTAGCCAAAAATATACACAAGATTCCTACAAAAAGGAAAAGAAAATCATACTCTATATCACCACACCTCGCCTAGGAAATCTATTACAAAGTTTTCATTTATCCCAAAAATAAACATCAACCCGATAGAAAAGTTAACCAATACAGGGTTGCAAATGAACCAAGTCGAGCCGACAAGAACTTGCTCGCGCTTGATCATGTATTGCCAAAATTGATTTCAAGCTCGAGCTCAATTTAAGTACTTATAGCAATGTTGACGATGGCTTTATTTAAAATTATGACTTTTTGGGCTTAGTTTGAGCTTGATTTGCCAGTTAACCAAATAAATCTTATTGAACCTATTAACTAGCAATGATATTATGCGGTGCATCATTTATCTAAACCAGACATACCAAGCCTATGAGTAGTGCATTTAGCTTAAAAAAATTTAATTCGATGAATTTTTAAGCATCTTAACAAGCATAAATAAGCTTCTTGTGTTCATGAATAAGAGCGACATAAAATTTTAAAAAAAAATCTCATATAATCATATATTAAATAAATGTATAATTGAGTCTTAAATGAGCATATTATTGGCCTTTTCAATAAGCATATTCACAAGCTTTAAAAGATATTATTTATAATTGCAAAAAAATCAAATATTAAGATGTTCAAGTTTGTTCATTTATCAATTGTTGATTTATAAAAGTGTTCAAGCCAGGTAAATTATTTGATTAAACGGTAATCTATGAGTTATAATCACGCTGAGCCATAATTAGCTTATCGAGTGTATTGGTTCTTTTGCAGCCCTAAACCAACATTATCAAAACCCTACAAAACTGGCAGAGTGTATGAAGTACAAAAACGAGAAGCTCTACTTAGTTAATAGAATTAGAAGTGAATGAATATAACGCTAGGTCGTAGGGTGTGTACGAGGAGCTGGATCTGCTCCCTGACCCGTTGAACGAGGCCAGCCTCGAATTGAAGGATCTCTGGGGCCGCCTTCTCGTTCCGCCACGCCCTCTTCAGAAGATCAACATCTGTCTCTGCCTCCATAGCTGCCGCCGCCGATTCCTCTTTGCTTCCACCCGCCGGCGGCGATTCCGTCTCTCACACTCTCTACCGAGCGGGAAAGAATGGTGCACCACAACGAGGGCTAAACCTCTTGACATGTTTCAAATCTTGCCGCTTATACAATACCACCGTTTTTAAAGAGGGCATTTTAGGCGCAACATTTATATATACATACCACTATTATTTTTATGTATTTCATTATCTTATGCTCGGGCCCTTACGGGATAGCTTATGAGTTTTGAAAATGTCACCATACTGTTTGGAAATCGCGTCCGCGCAAATTACTCATGGTACTCGTCCGAGAAATCATTAATAAGCTTCGACACTGGTAAAGACCCGCGTCTCGTGTTCGCGACCCGTGTTGCCCTAATAATTCTGAAGGTACCCCTAATCTTCCTCGCCCTCGCCCTCTCCCTCCCTGGATTCATTTCTGATTCGTCACCCTAGAGGAGATCGAACTTTCTTTCTTTCGATTTTCCTTTATGATTAGTATGGTATGTTTTCCCTAGCTGCGATCATAGGAAAGTTAACATGTTCCTCTTCTTTGGTGGTTTTTTTGGGAGGTAGGGATGCAAGCAATAATTTTTTTTAAAATTTTTGTTGCGATATATAAGTAAATTAATGGTTTTTGGGCATAGCCTAGCAGAGATCCGTGGCATGAGAGGAACTTCGATTTTTCTGTATCTTTATTTCTGAGGTGGAGTTCCAAGCAAGCTAATTTTTATCATTTGTGCATAGATTTATGAAATTGTTTTCATTAGTTTGCAAGGGAATGTTTTCATTATGGAGGTTTAAGCAAGAAATTTGCTTTATCGTTCTTCGAACATAAGCAGGGAGATAAAATTTCTAATTCTATATCATTGCACCAAAAAATGTCTCAGTATTTATGAATTTCTAATTCATTGTATGAAACTTATCAGTTCGTATGTCTGTATTAATGAGGTTCTGTAGTATGCTAGTGAATGAATAGGCATGAGGGGAATTCAAAATCTGATAGTGTTGTTCTAGTAGTGTTGTTAGCAATGTTATCGAAGGAAGCTCATATCTGATAGTGTTGTTAGCAATGTCATTAATTCATCATAGGTGATCCAATTTATAAAAATTTAAAGTGGAATGAGGTAGTGGAGAAAAAATTTCTAGCTAGTAAGCACAAATCTTCAACCAGTAAGCTCTCTTTTTTTTTTATATTCTCTTTTGGGTTCAGAGCATAGTATAGATGATGCTTTAACATATTCTTATAACATGTACAGCTTGAGGCAGTAAAGAAAATTCAAAAGTCAAGATTTCATTTCATAAACAATGTGTTTATAAGTCATTGTTGAGGTTAGAAATTGGTCCATGTACATGAATTATTAACAATCAAATGCCCTTTCGATTAATTCATATAAGTGTGTTAAATTCCTGATGATTGATTAATCTTACCAAAATCTCTTAGCTCATCTTGCCATTATTCTAGCTCATCTTGATAATTAATAGGCCTTGAGACATATAGAAGACATGAAGTAGATAAAGGCGAGTTGAACAACTCTATGCAATCCATTTGTTTATAATGAATTACTCACCACGATTTTCATCACTATAAATTCCAAGAATTTTTGCATCTCTCGGTTTCATCTTCTCCCTATTTATAAATTGGGTGATGATGAAATATATCATGAAAAACAATTTCATCGACCCTATGGTGGAGCATAACCTGATATGATGCTTGCAGTTCTTATATGAAAGGCTTGTGAATTTAATCGGAACATGAAGAGCCTAGCAAACTGCTTTAAGGATTATGAATTTCTAGCTCAAGAAAGGCGTACACTTGCTTCATTCGAGGATTAAACTTTAAGAGTATGATTTGAATTATCTATAGTTCTATGCTTTTTTTTTAAGGAACGTTGCTCCCTAATAAAGGAAGCATCCATTTATCATTTTGTGCATGATGTTATTATATGAAAATGAAGCTATGTTTAGGTAGCATTCTAGTTTCTACAGTAGGTAATGTCAATGCACCATTATTTTATCATATTTGCAGTAAAGGTGGCAGTACAAAAATGCTTACACTATTGATATGGGTGTTTTTTTCTATTATGGGTAGTTGCAATTCATATGATGAATTAGTTGTTGCATAAAACCGTATGAAGAACTGTTTTGCTATATCTACTCAGTATTTCAAATATAGTTTTAAAGGTGCCCTCCCTATGCTTTATTTGGGTTTTTTTATCTTGAGAAAGGTAAAAAGGGGTTTTTTTCATTTTGTACTTAGTTCTTCCCTACGGGTGTTGTAGTCTTATGTTACTAGAAAAAGTAACAAGCCAGCTAATTAGGAAGCTAAAATTGGTGCTTCTTGCAAATATCTCAGTGAGTGCAATTATGCCGAGAGATCTTGCTTTACTTGTTTTGAAAGGTCTGTGTGTCTTGAACAACATTGTTTTACTGTCAAATTCCTTATACAGTATTGTTGTATAGATATTAAGAAAGGTCTTTGTGTTCTTTAATTCTAATCTCATTATAGTTACTAAAGTGTTGTACAGTATTGTTGTGTTCGGATGTGGAGTATTCATAGTTTTTCTCAATAAAATAGAGAACAGTTGTGTTGCTTCCATTATTAGTAAAACTATCTCCTATATTTTGTATGCAGAGAAAATGGCATCTTACAGTTGTGTTAATTAAAAATTTTACTTGTATTTATATGTTAAGTTCCTTATAGTTCCACCATGTCTAAGGTGAATGACGGGGGTCTGTCTGCTATGTAGGATAAAAAAGTTACAATTATTTTTTGTGATCTCTGTATTAAAGAAATATAACTGGAAAATAGGCCAACCACGTATTTTAACAGGGAAGGTTGGCAAAATATTGTGAAGAGGTTCAAAGAATTGACTAACAGAGATTATGACAGGCTAAATTTCAAAAACAAATGAGATCAATTGAAGAAGGAATGAAAAATTTGGAAGGAGCTGAAACGTGGATCTACCGAGTTCGGTTGGGATCTCATTAAGTGGGCAATCGATGCTCTAGATGACTGGTGGGTTGAGAAATTAGAGGTAATTTTTACACTCTCATTTTTTTAATTCTCCTAGTATTTTTGTTTAACAACTAATCCCTCTAAAAAAAACGTTACAGGCAATGGCATCAACGAAGAAATATAAGCAATGCAGAATTGAGTCAGACTTCGAAGAAATACTCGACATAATGTTTAAAGGGGTTGTCATGACGGGAAAGCATGCATTCAACCCTAGTGAGATGGGTTTTGCAGACATACCAAATGACTTCCCACCTGAGTCATTGAAAGCTGATGAAGAAGTGTGTAGTATTAACCAGAGGGAGATGGGGGAGTCCAATTCACTGTCAAAGCGGCCCAGGCATAGTGGGAGGAAGAAAGAAAAGGACAATTTTGTGAAAACCTTCTTCGATCTACTCATTGATGTTTTTGGAGCTCCACCACCTACTCCACTCCCTGACACATCATCTTAGAATGTATTGAAGTTGTGGCTTCTCTTCCTGAAGTAGTGGCCGACATGCGATTTCATGTCAAGTGCATGAAAAAACTTGAGGATCCTACGCATAGGCAAATATTCATGGCACTGCAACCAGATTTGTGCGTCGAATATTTTGGTTTTTTTGGTAGATGAATGAGTTTTTTATGTGTTGTTATTTTTAGCTTTTGTAGTGTTATGTATTTCTACATGGGTCATTTTAATATGTTGAACTTTGTAGTCATGTTTTTTTTAAATGTACCTCTAAATGATTCATGTTTTTTTATAAGTTGATCGATGTACATCTTTTGTTTGATGTGTAATTTTTAGTTCTTGATGTTTTCGTTGCTTATTTTTTTGCGCCTACTATGTCTTAACAATTTCTCTAACATTAACATTTTTATCTTTTAGGATGGATCCGCGGCAGAAACAATGTAAAAGAATGGCATGGGCTGCGGCTATTGCAATATTGCTATTAGAGTATTACCAATCCAGCAGTGTTCGCATACCCTGCATGACATCCAGCTTTGTTGGGGTTAAATGGGTGGGTGAGATGCTTTCTGGACATCTAGTAAGGTTCAACAACATATTTAGAATGACTGCAACTATTTTTATGGATCTTCTTCACGAGTTATGTCTGAAGCACGACCTCCAAGGTTCTTCTAGAACGACAAATATGGAGGTGTTGGCTATAACACTATACATTCAGTCACAGAACGAATCAATTAGAGGAGCTATGGAGAGATTTCAACATTCATCAGAAACAATTAGTTGTTACTTCTCCAAAGGCGTACAGACACTTGTTAGCTTAGCAACTCAAATCATTAAACAAGAGGATTCATCATTTGTTAGTACTCCTGAACAAATTACCAACGATCCTTATTACATGCCTTATTTCAAGGTAACTATTAGTTTCTGCATGTTACTTTCAGAATATAATTAGTTTCTAACTGTGTAAAACAGAACTGCATAGGTGTAATCGACGACACTCACATTGATGCTCGACTACCCAGCCACGAGAAGGTGGCATACATTGGTCGTAGTGGCTCAACAACTTAAAAGGTCATGGTTGTATGTGACTTTAACATGTGTTTCACTTTTATGATGACGGGCTGGGAAGGGAGTGCACATGACAGCAGGATTTTCTCCTATACAACTAGGAATAGATCACAGTGTTTCCCTCACCCACCTTCAGGTTTGTTTTGCTTTGTAAACGTACTATTTAATATGTATTATTTGTCATTAACAGTGTCTTTCGTAACAGGGAAATATTATTCGATTGATGTCGAATATCATATGCAGAGGGGCTACCTGAAGCCTTATTCGGACATCAGATACCATATTCTTTATTTTGAGAGAGCAAGTGGCATGATCCGTGGCAGAAAAGAAATGTTTAATATGTTTAATAAACGTCAATAAACGTCACTCATCTTTACGCGGGGTAATTGAAAGAATATTTGAGGTTTAGAACAATAAATGGGTCATCCTATGTGATATTCTATCATATTCATTTCAAAAGCAAGTGCATATTGTGGTGACCATAATGACACTTCTTAACTTCATCAGACGACATCCCTCACGATTAGATACAAACTTTAGTTTGGCTAACAATGATGAATTGAATGTCTTTAAAGAACCTTCAGGAATTGTGGTTGGGCATTCATTACCTGAG